TAAGCACATCGATAAGCTCCCCAAATTCTCCCCAAAAGACAGTCTAGTCACTGTATAAAGAGTCAAACATACTTGAACATCACATTAGACATCAAAGGCGCTTGTCAATAGATGTTTGTACTCGCAGGAAGTAGGTTTATTTAAATAGGATCTTCACACGCCACTGTCACGAGGCTCCTTTTCAGTATGGTGATTTTAATGTCGCTGACCATGAAAGCTAGCTTGTCACCTAAAGTCACAGACCCTCCTTCCTCAGCATGGCTGCGTACACTAGTAACAGACAATAGATCTCAGGTAAGGTGGCTTTCATTTCTTCCTCCCCTGCCCCCTCTTCTTCTTCTTCTTCTTCTTCTTCTTCTTCTTCTTCTTCTTCTTCTTCTTCTTCTTCTTCTTCTTCTTCTTCTTCTTCTTCTTCTTCTTCTTCTTCTTCTTCTTCTTCTTCTTCTTCTTCTTCTTCTTCTTCTTCTTCTTCTTCTGCTTTCATTTCTTTTAAGATAGGGTATCATGTATCCCAGGCTGGCCCCTAACTCACTATATAGTCATAGATGATCTTGATTTTCTCATCCTCCTGCCCCTACCTCCCAGGTGCTGGGAAACTAGGTAGGTGCATCCCTGTGGCTGGTTCGAGTGGTGCTGGGGATTTGTATAAGCTAGGCGAGCACTCTGCCAAATGAATTACATCCTCTGCCCCAGGGTGGCTTTTTAAAAAAAAAATCACAATTTTAAAATAAAAAAAAATAAACAAGGCAATTGAAGCGTTCCCTCACCAGGAAGGAAGGGCTCACCAGATAATGCCTGCCCGGCCACCAGCTCACTAGCCTATGAAGTGTGAACAAAATAAAGACCTGTGGTCCAGCAAAATGGCTCAGCAGGTGAGGATGTCTTTTGCCAAGCCTGGCTACCGAAGTTCGGTTCCAGAAAAAGCCATGTGGTAGAAGGAGAGAACCAGCTGCTGCAAACTCTCCTCTGAGCTCTGCTTATAGGCACACATGCTAAAGCAATTAATTAATTAGTTAATTCGTGAATTTTAAGCAACCACAAAAATAAGGCTTTTTCTTAACACGGTACAGCATGAGAGCCCACATAGAAGCAACGCCATTGGTAACTGGTGGGGAACCCCAAGCAGGCAACGTGAAGTCATTTGATGACGTAACCTGCTCTCCTTATTTTCTCTCAACACTCAGTCTTCCAGAAACATCCGTTCCTGCAAAATTCTTAACTACCCATTTCTCCTGTTGCCATAGATCCTTCAGGCATTTCCCTGCCAGATTAGGGCACCCAGTCAAAAGAGACCAGGGCAGAGGAAGGGGCTCAAACCCCAGGGAAAACCGTTTACCGTACGGCAGTGTAGACAGAGTGGGAAGGAACGTACGTTCAGTGATGGACAAGATACTGGTCAGTGCTCACCATGCCTCCTGGCCGGGACCCTGATAGGAGTCGAACACTTCTGTTAAGAGAGGTTTGGTGACTCGTGACCATCAGTCCATCTTGTCTCCCTAAGCTTTTTACCCACCACTTCCACACTCAGACCCAGCCAGGTCCACGACATACCTGGGGGAGCCTGTAAGTAGCCTACCTGGGATCGCTCTTAAAAGCTGCATCAAGGGAGCCTTACGTTCTCATCTTGGTCTTGTGCAGAGGGAAGATTTCCTCACGAAGCCTATGCCCAGCAAAATGTCATTACAGGGTCTTTAATTTCTGCTTTTCTAAAATAAAGGCTGAAGTGTTTTTCTCATCTAGTTTGGCTCACTGTTCGGCTTCTCTCCAACAATGGGGACATAAAGACTGCTTCAAGTTTTCGTCATTCTGGTGTATTTACATTTTATTTAGTTTCCCGTTCCCAGTGGGAAGCGTTGGTCCTAGAACTTCATTCATCTTAGCAATTTTTTGATTTTTATTCCTTTCATTTGTTTATTATTGGGATGTTGCTTGGGGGCATTAAAATAGCATCCCATATACCCCAGGTTGACCTGGAACTTGTGACATAACTTAAGATGTCATTAAAGTTCTGATCTCCCTGCCTCTGCCTTCTGTGTGCTGGGGTTCCACGGCCGCGCCATCCTTCTGAGCTTATTAGAATATTCGTTGGCACCACCTTAGGAATCGAATGGCTGAGAAATAAAGCTACATGGTACCTTCAAAGTTTTCCCTCTCACTTCAATCCAAGTCATTAGTTAATGTCACTTTCCAAAGTGGGAAAATAAATCTACCCCAGCAAGTCACTCATTCGTTACTGGTGAATGAAATATAAACTCACTAATGTGAGGGGGGGGAGGAGAGTATGCATTTAAAACTTCCCCTCTGCAAAATAAATACACGAGCTTCAGATGGTAACCGTCTTCCTGATTCTAAAATGACTGGTCAGTTTGGAAACATATGGGACTCACTGCCGGCAGGAAAGTAGATTGATGGATTCATTTTGGAAACCAGTCTGATGTTATTGTGCAAAAGTGTATATTCATATATTCCTGGGCTGAACCCCAGGACATGTGTGCTTATGCGTCTTGCCTCTAATAGACACAGCATGTTTCTAGCAAGGGAAAAAAAATGGAAGCTGGAAAAAACGTGGAAGTCCATCAATAGAAGGGAAATTATATATACACACACACACACACACACACACACATATTTTCACACTGCAAAACTGTTAAAAGAAAAACTGACATGAGTTAAATTTAACAAAGTTTACTTAAGCAAGGAAAAAAGGTTCTAGGACTGGGCAGCATTCCAGAACAAAGAGGGTTTGGAACGCTCCACCCCACCACACTTACAGGTTATATTTATAGCCGAAGAAAAGGAAGTGACATGCAGACAGGACTTGATTGGCCACAGTTGCCATTGGACTTCGGTAGACATGGTCTGATCAGTTGGCAGCCTGTGATTGGCTAAAACCTTGACACTTGTGATTGGCTGAGACTTAGTTGCTTGGTTCTATTCCTATACTCTATGCTGAGATGATATTATAACTTGTTTATACGCCAAGTTAGGACATAGTTGTACCACGTGCAAAGGCTGTGTTGGGCCAGATTTTACCACCCGGGTACAAAGCCAATTTTAAGCCAAACTGATTCAGTTTAGCAACACAGTGGAATGTTATATCGTGGAAACAACTCAAGTCACCTAAAACAAACTTGGTCAGTCGTAGCAAAAAACACTGTGGGGCTCTAGTTCCCAGAGACTGTATGCTTCGTGACAGAATTACTTAATGTGTTTTGTAATCCAAGAGTGTCCCTCAGTTGGTGGAGTTCTTGCCTAAACGGGCATGAAGCCCTGGGTTCAATCCCCAGCATCAGATAATCCAGATGTTCTGGGGTGCTCCCATCCTCTCCACACTCAGGATGTAGAGGCAGGAGCATGACAATGGCAAGGATGGGGATGTTCATGTCAGAAGCTAGGGGTCAGTCTGGGCTATATGAGAACCTTCTTTAATTAAAAAAAAACCTTTTAAACCACACATTTTAGAGAACAATGAATAAAAAGCAAAGGGCAATAGTTTACTTTGGGAGAGAAGCAATAGGATACTTTAGGGAAGAAGCAATATGTGGGATAGTCCCACCATCAGGGTGGTCAGGGACCTGGCAGTCTTGGGGTGCTGGGCTTCAAAAGTGATACTGCTTCAAATTTTGTGCAGTGCAAATATTTTTAAAGCTATAGCGTGGGTCAGAGTTCTCCCTTTCTGCTCCCACTTTCTGCCCATTACATGTGATAATCCCTTTCCTTTTGCATGTGTGTATGTGCATACATGTATGTACATGTATACATGTTTGGGTACATATGTGTGCATGTGTCTGTGGAGGACAGAGATTAACCCCCAAGGTTGTTCTCCAGAAGTTATCAACCTTGTTTTTGGAGAAAGTAGCCATTAGTGCAGCGGTAGCCAACTAGGGCAGGCTGCTTGGCTGCCAAGCCCCAAGGAGCTGCTGGCCTCCACTTCTCTAGTACTGGGACTACAATCATGCACCATACATGGCTTCTTTAAAAATGTGGTCTCTGAGGGTGTAACTTAAGTCCTCCTGCAATTGTGCAGCAACCAAGCTTGCCCTCTTCGTCTCTGTTCAGAGTATCTGGAGACCACACTGAAGTGGTTGGAGGCTGTGGCTCCTCGGTGATGTCTCCAGGTTCGTTTCTGGGAAGAGGTCACCAGGAGAGGCTGACATCAGGAGCTCAGTGGAGTGGGTTGCATAGGGCAGCAGTGTTGCCTCCATTACTGCTGAAAAGCCTAGAAAATCTTGCAACATGGATGAAAGAAAATTTCCCAGAACAGGTTCTGTGACCTCTCAGAAGATCTGTATTTATTGTCCCAACAGTGACTAAGGCATCTGCAGTGGGTCATTTGCCAAAGACGTGATTATGAAAAGATTTTTCCTTGGCAACCCACTGTTCTTTTTTTGAGCAACATGTGGCCTTTGAAACCAGTGAGGCAGGAGTTGGCCTCTGTGCAGTGATGTCACAGGTACCCTGGCAATAGTCACAGCCTCCACGCTTCAGTCTTGGGAAGTTCAAGGTGGGTATGTGAGAACTCAGGGCACGTAGGAAGGAAAGTTACAATAAACAGGAGATGGAGCCAGAGCGGGGGGGGGGGGGGGGGGGGGGGGGGGGGGGGGGGGGGATGCTGCCTGCCCGAAATGTGGACCAGTGTCTGAAGGGAGGGCCAGCTTGGATTGGCTTTCCACATTCACCCTGCAAGCCAGCTCACAGGGTATGCAGTGCCCTCTTCTGGCTTCTGCAGGCACCAGGCACACACACACTGCACATACATACCAGAAAGCTTTGATTCAGCCTGGTCCTGACGGCTCCTGAGAACAGTCTTGGATTTCCCTGAAATATCAGAGTCAAGACCTATTTGTTTATCTAATCCTTTTTATTAAAAAACCCTTTTATCTTAAAAATTATAGTGGTGTGTGTGTGTGTGTGTGTGATTTATCTTTTTGCTGACTTCAGATTGTGTTAATTAGGGCCATGAAACCGCATAACCACCAGTCTTGTTTTTCTGTTCGCAGGTCCGGGCCTCTTACACTGAATTTCTGTTTCTCTACTGCCACTCTTTCTGCTCAAGCAAACTCTTCAAGGAAAGATCTGCTGGGAAGGGAGCGGCCGCCTGTGGCTTTGCACTGTGATGAAAGCAAATGGTACAGGTGAGTGAGGCTAAAGCCTGTGGCCAGTCATGGTCATTTAGCCTTGAAGTCCCAAGATGCAAGTTGAGTGTGTATCAGCAGCTCTTCATGAAGATCCATGTGTGCACACACACACAAGTGCACGCAAACACAGGCGCACACACACACATACACTTGCACACACACAGGAATAATATATCTACATATCTATGAATTATTCTTCTACTTATTTTTTTCGGAGTCTTTCTATGAAAGCGAATTGTTGCTTTTGTGCACATATATGTAACAGTATGGTGTCTAGGCATGTGTGTAGGCATGCTCACGTAGAAGTGCAGTGCACATGTTTGTGTGCATGGAGAGCTCAGGACTTGACGTTGGAAGTCTCCCGCAATCACTCTCCACCTTATGTATTCATGCACTGTCTCTCAACTGAATCCAGAGCTAATATGACTAGCGCAGCCGGCCAGCTTGCTCAGGGGAACCTCTGTCTCTCCCTTCCGTTGGAATCACAAGTGGGTTACCATTCCCACCTGCCTTCTGTGTAGGTCAGGGGATCTGAACTCCGATTCTTTATCCTTGAACAAAAAGTGCTTTAGCTACTGAGCCATCTGCTCTGTTAAGCCCCTTTTGTTTTTCTTACTTTTTTAGGAGAAAAAAAAATTTTTTTTTACCTATTTTGAAGTGACTGATAAGATATCTGGCAAGACAATGATGAGTAAGGGCCAACTCTGGTGGTGACATTCAGCTGTAGAGACAACTGTCAGACAGTAGTACAAGATAATATACGTCATCCAATATTTGTTCCTCGTGACAGTCAACATCTTTCAGTGGCAATATCGTTTTTACAATATAATTTTCCCTGGTTATATAATTTTCCAGCAAGCAGAAACATTGATATTTCATTGTCTTGATTCTCTTCAGCTGGAATTGAATTGTTTATATACTTTTTAACTTTCATGTGATCAGAAAGCTCTTGTAGCATTTACATTACAATGTAGCCCACTGTTAATGGCTTCCTCTGGAGAATTGCCTATTGGTGAACTACTGAATAGAAGAGCTTTCAGGTTCGAAGAGTTTCAGTACATTTTCTAAACTACTTTCCAGTCACATGGTAGTAGGTTCTACATTCAGAAGAGACATACAAGAGGATCTCTGCCCTCAAAATTCCGGAAGCCAAGAGCTCTGGAAGCAGAAAGGGTGCTTGCCAATTGATGGTGAAAAATGACCAGTGTGTGTCCATGTGCGGTGTGTGAGGGCACACGTGTGCTCGCCGAGGAGGGGGGCCGAATTCACTTGCAGATCATGTTGCTTTCTAGAACTCACATTCTGCAGACAGAAGCACACTCAAAACTTGCCAGCTTTGGACATTTGAAAAATAATACTAAATCAAGGAGAACTGTAAGAGCCCCGGGGAACTGTGAGATCTTTCTTCCCAGCCAAGTATTTTTAGACAATTGTGAAATCACGGAATAGCCAGCGTTTTCCGGAGAAAAGCGAAGTTTTTCAATGCTTACAAACTATGCGGAGATAGTTCATAAACAGCCTTCAGGCCAAGCAATCTGAAGATGGACTTCTCATTCCTAGGAATGTGTATGTGTCTATGACTGTCTAGCATGCCTGTATCAGGAAGGTGGTTGCCTTATAGGACACAGAGGCTTCTGATCCCGAGGTCCGTTACTGGGGTTCAGAGGACAGCCCTGCTCTTTTCTCCGGGATGTTGTTTTAAGTTCACATTTGAAAAATGTAGAGAAAATCGTGCCCATTGCATGAGGTGATGCTCATGTGACTGTATGTATGTGACAAGCTTATTCTTTCTAGAGTCTCGTGTTGAGGGAGGGTGTGTTGATACTAGAAAAGGATGGACGGTGGGTCAAGTCTTCTGGCGCACCCTATGATTCCAGCACGCAGTGGTAAGAGGATCAGGAATTCAAGGTCTGGTTGCATCACATGAGACCATATCTCAAGAAAGCAGAAACAACAGCAGCCCCCATCCCCTGCAGAAAATGGGGGCTGTAGAGGTTGTCTCAGCAGTTAAGAGTGCTTGTCCCACCATCATGGGGAACCAGTGTTCAGATCTCAAAATTTGTATAATAAACCAGGCCTTCTAGAAAATGCCTATAGTATGAGTTCTGAGGAGTTGAGACAGGATTCCAGCCTAGTCAAGATGCAAAGCCCAGATTCAGAGAGACCCTGCCTGAAAGAAATGGGTGAAGAGTGACAGAAGACACCCGACACCCTCTGCTGGCGACTGTGGGTACATACCCACATTTACCTGCACACACATGTGTACTCACATAGAAACACATACTAACAAACAAATAAGTCCTTTAACAGAGAAAATGATCGTGATAGGTGATAGAAGTAAACACACATAACATATGTGCTAACCATCATGGAACACTCCCTCTTCTTCCTCTGGTTCATCCTTTGGTGTATGAAGGAACTCTATGAGTTTATTAGCATGTACCAAGTCACTACTGTCCAGGAGAGACTCCACTGAATATCTTCAAGGAAAAGACCCATCTTCCACAGGGTTTAAAATTACTTCCCCACCTACTGGGTAGGACACCCATGTATCAATCCTGTCAGGTTGCCTTGGACTAATCTTGTGTAATGGATTCTCATTCCTACCCAGGCTGCCTCGCCATGGTATAGAGAGCATCTCACTCTAAGAAGGCTTCGGTTCTTTTGTGAGCCACAGGCAGAGTCCCTAACCTTCTGGAGCCACGGGTGAACTGATCCATTTGGCCCTTGTCCTTCTCCTCTCACTAACCAAGCCTCATCTCATAAACTCAATGAGTGAAACGGTGGGGGAAGAATTTTCTCCCCCTTAGTTCTTGTCATTATGTGCTCCAGCCTACAGATGCAAAAGGAAAAGCTAGACAAAGTAGAAAGGTGGTTCAACAGCTGAGCACTGGCTGTTCCTCGGAGGACCTGAGTTCAACTCTCAGCACCCTCATGGTGGCTCAGGATAGACTATAACTCCAATTCCAGGAGATCTGGAACCCTCTTCTGGCCTCCTCAGACACTGCACAAATTTGCTACACAGAGATACACATTTGGGCAAAACACCTATACACATAACATGAAAATATATAAAACCTAAAGGAAAAAAAAAAAGGAAAGCTGGGTTCCGAGCCACTCCACCCCGTAGCCACATATTAAGACTGAAAAGTGGGAGGAAAGAGGGCCCAAAGTGATTTTTCATCAAATGAGACAAAGACAGAGCCACTTGGATGGCTTCAGCCACTGCCTTTCACTGGGTCTTCTACAGCTGGTTTGTGTGTCTTGGTATTGTATTCACCAGGGCCTTAATTTCTAGTCTCATTCTGCCAGCTTCGCACTTAGCAGAAAGGAACATCTGAATTCCTAATTAAGGCATTTTCCTTTTGCTGAAGACTGCCTCTTGAATGTCATGAGTGAATCTCTCATAGGTAATGGCGAGGATGCGTAAGGAAACAAATCATGTATTTTAGGCAAATGTGTATATTGGTTAAAAGGAATTAAAGCCTTGTTCATGGGAGTGAGGACCAAAAAATAAGATGTGTTGACAAATACACATTCTATAAAATGGTTTGCTGCGTTCTGCCAGACTCAGATGAGGCACCTCAGGAGTATAGGTAGAAAGGCCGTGTGTAGCTGATACGCAGATGGCAATGACATCATCACATGGAACCTATGGTGTTTGGATAGCACTTAGTCTCCTCAATGACACAGTCAGTGGAGGCTGAAAGAGGGAGGAAGAAGGAGCCATTAGCTGTGACTCCTGGGCTGCTGTGCAGAGATGCAGGCATCGTAGTTGCCAGAATAAATGCCTCCAGAGAGGCAGGGGAGCGGGGAATGTTATTTTAATCATTCTAACGAGGTGGTAACTCGGGAGCTGACATCCTGCCGCTGTTCTCTGGTCCTTAGGTAGAGTTATGCAAACCATTTTCTCCCCCATAGCCCTGTGGAAGAATATCTTTACAGTCATCAGAGTGTGGCTGAAAAGTTAATTCTCAGAGTTTCCCGTGGAACTGAGGGTACCCTAGGGTGTGGCCAGTCCGGAATGAAGCCATGGCTTTTGGATTGTGAGAAACAAAGACCGTGCCCTCCTACTGGAAGTCATCCTCTTTCAATCACTCCCCACACGTTCACTTATTGACAAATGATTTGTTGATACGGTGTTAGGCATTGTAGACATGGAAGGGATCATGGGCTGGCCCTCATGGAGCTTTCAAAACTAAGGTTGGTACTCTCAAAAGCACACCGAGTGGCTCGAGTGAACGGGGACATGAGCTGGTCTGTTGAAAGGGGGGCTCTAGAGTGAGAAGGTGGAGAAACGGCAGAAAGACCCGTGGGTGAGGAAGGCGTGAAGCAGAAAGGACCGGAGAATAGAGGGGACTGGAGATGGAGTGAGCGCCTTTGGCTACAGCTCCAGACAGGAAAGTGATGAGGACAGGGACAGGAGTGTACTGTGAGACTTCCCTCCAGGGGACCTGTGTCTGGGTCATAAGTGGTGTGCATTTACCCACCTCTCAACGGAAGTGACTTAAACAGTGCACGTAACTGAGAAACTGGGCAGTGGATCTTCTCATTCCTCTGAGTGTATACACGTTAAAAGCACGAAAGCTGTCTTGGTGCATGCTAATGCCCTGGTCCTTCCCCATTCTCGCAGGAGACTCTTAAAGGCACACATCTACACATGCAAATAGTTCTGAAGGTAATGAATACTACATCTTTTCTATATATGCACACACGTGATAAAAGTTATCTTATAAATCATGCACAATCATACTGAAAATTTAAGATTTTCATTGACGGGCACCTTTTCACTGTTCTTCAACCTCAACCTCTGGTCTTTAATGAGTTGCAAGCATCCAGCATAAAACATAATCTGCTATGTTTGGTCTCTCTTTGAGAAGCCCAGTCTAGCTGTCGATTTCACTACTAGACCCATGCACACACATGTGTATGGGGATGTGCGTGCGCGTGCACACACACACACACACACAGAAAATGCATTCTGGGACACAGGCCCA